GGTTTGCTTTCCATCCGTTTTAGAAGCCACCATGCGGAGCGACATGGCGACCAAATGCTATGGCCTGCCATAGCGAGGACCCCCTTTGCACCTTTGGAGGGTTCACGGAGGTGGGACATGATGTTGCTCCCATGTTCCTTTTCTGACCAGCTTACGCGCGCACAGTTTTGCTTTAGTGCGGGGTGCTTGCACATGTCTGAGTTTGTTTGGGGCCCTTACCCTGACACAGGGGTTCCTCCATTTCAACCTCAAGTGATTAGAGGGTTCCAGGAAGAGAGACGTGGCAAGAGGCGGTATCTGTACCGTGTGGCTGTGTCACCCGAAGCATTTCTTGGGGCACACCCATATTGCTCTGGATTCGGTCTTTCTTTACTGTCTGTAGTAGTAATTAGAGGGGACGACAGGCAACAGGCCCAACAAAGTACCATTACAGTAGGAAAAGGGGCTTACTCACCAAACTCCCATGTCGATTAATCTCAACCAAGGGCCCCGGTCCTTGTTTCGGGGTTGAGGGGAAGCCATCCATTTTGGCTTATGAGTTCATGGAAGTCAAACTTGCTGGGAAGCCAGCCACATGAAACCCCACGAACCGTTGCACCAAGGCCTGGTCTGTTCACGGGAGAGGGGCCTTCCGCAAGAGGAGCGTAATCTTCCAAAGCCCCCCGAACATCAGCCTCCATGATTGGAGGGAGGCTAGGTGCCCAGCCTATGAATAAGGGGGTGGGTTTTTGTTCCCCTCCAAGAGTGATGATGAATCCCCAGCAAGAGCGCCCACCCCCCCAATCCAAATCAACCCCTTGGGGTTGCGAATCTGGGGTCAGCATGATTTTGGGTTCTCGCAAGCAGTTTGGGGACTTTGCTTTGCCAACCCACTCGAGCGACTGGAGATCTCCAGGCTTGGCGCCGCCGACGCCATGTACCAAACCTACGCGTGCGCCCAGCGAGCGAGCAACGCGCGAACGCAAGGGAGAGACGAGGGAAGGGAGTGGTGCTATGTGGAAATGCTGTGCGGGGACCCTTTTCGGGGTTTGAAGGCAAACTAAGGGCCAGCCATGCACTTGGAGGGGGGGGTGTGCCCCTATTTGGAGCTATTTGAATGCGACCCCAAAAACAGAACAAATCAAGGCCGAGCTCGTGAGAATGCAACCGCTGCTTGGGATATTTGGTAATTACCTGGGAAGTTGGGTGCTGAGTAGCACATGGGCGGGTCTCTTTTGAGAGTTGATTTGAGGTCTAAAGGAAACCACACGAGAACAGATATGTGTTGTTTTTCCATCGTCCTGTTTAGCACGAGATGCCCTGCAGGGGATCCATCAATGAGCGGATGGTTGGTCTCTGAGCGGCTTATGTCGAATGGTTTCCTCGTGAGCGTAAAAACAACATCGGCCATTTGAGTAGACTCTACTACTTGCTTTAATTGGGAGGTTTTGTAAAGCTATACGTAAACCTTGCTGACCACGTTAGAACCAAATGTGAATGTGTTTTGGGTGCAAGTGGGCTTCTCCAATGTCAATAATCCCTTGGCCAATATTTAAGACAGACTTGCCGTGTCTTGTCAACATTGGTGCTGATTAGGAACATGTTTAGGCCATGCCTAGCAGCACTTGGAAGCCCGGGGCGATCGCTAAAGCTTAAGGTGGTGTCTTTAAGGGCCATTCTTTTTTTGGGTCGGCTTAAAAGGGCAACCAAGAGGAGAGCCACGCTTTTTGAGGTTCCCTATTTTGAGACACACCCAGGTACTGGCTAATGTCCATGGCTGCTGGCAGCGATGTGCGGAAGACTGTGATGTACTCGGCGGCGTACAAGGCAGTATCGGAATGTTTTGAAGCCGCTTCAGACATGTTGATGTTGCTGAAAAAGCCCATGCTGTAAATGGCTGGATGCATGGCCTTGTCTGTATTTTTTTCCGCCTGAAATGTGGATTTCGAGGTTCCCACTTGTCGATGTTAGGTCGGTGAAATCGAGTAATGTCTGGGGCTCATACCGGAGTTTCATGCCCATGTTTCGCCGTGTGCAAGGGGTCAACCGGTTTGCTTGGACATGTTTTTGGTTTGAGGTACCCATCTCATGGTTCGACCCATCTTTTCAGTGTTTTTGTTTGGTCCAAACAAACACATGCGTAGTTTTGGGCAGACTAAACTTGGACGAGTCAATATGTATGTGTATATATATATATATATTGATGTTTGTGTATCGCAGGTCAATCACCCCAGTGATTTGCTTGAGCCCCTGGTTCTGGCTCCATGCCGCGCGAACATGCGTTTTGGAGCACTCCAAAAGGGCTCATCTGTTTGGTTTCCCTTACCGACCCTTGTTTCCGGGTCTGGAAATCTGTGGCCTCGGATTTTCGTGATGGGATACGGGAATTTCTTCGCAGGTTGCCGGTTCAACATGGCACCGGTCTTAAATGGAAGCCAGTTCCAGGTACGGGGTAAGCCCGGATCAAAGTAGAATCTGCCCGTCCTATTGGGGTGGGGGAACGTTCCCTCCAAAGCGATCTAAACCCCCGCCCAGGGCTGCATTTTTCGTTGCGGGTTAGGTATGGACAATGAGTAACTTATTCTTAGAAATCCTATCACTGGAGAGGTGTTGCCCGAGTGGTCCGAACCCCACTAACCAGAAAATATGAATCAGATCAATGCTAAGTTCCCACTCCCCACAGACATTTGTATATGTGTTTCGCCGTTGGCGGGTTCGGTATGGCGGATGGGTAACCTATCCTTAGAAACCTGGGGTCAACATTCGCCCTGGGGCTCAGATCCCACCATAACAAACAAGGTGGGTTAATATAGGAGAGCATCCCCTCATGGCAGGGTTTTTAAAACCCACAAAATGCACCTATTTCAACCCAACAAGTGAAATTACGGCATTGAGGCAGATTGAGATTCAATAGTATGCGGGCAATGCACTTTTAGTGCTGTGGACCTTGGATGTTGTGCCCAAAATTGCTTGCCTGTTGCAAGCAGGCTTTATCAGACAATTGGACCCTGACAATTGGCCCACAATTGCTTGTCAGTTGCAAGCTGCACTATCAGACAGTGTTGAAGAAAAGGCCCGTCACCAAAAGTGTCTCCAGTGTAGCTGCAATTCTCTTAGCATCTTTCTTGTAATTCCTGTTTAGCATTAGAACTGAATGATAATTTAAGTAGAATCCTATATGGAAAGACACGTTGATCGTTTATTCTGAATTGCCTGTCTATCAATCGGAGAGACAAGCCGATAGAAACTCAAAGGAAATGCAATTTCAGTTCTATTGGTTTACAAGTTTTAGTTTGCACCGCTTTATGTTGACTCCTATCTTGATTAGCGTTCAAGTTGACAGAGTAGGTTGAATTAGAGGTTAACTAGGTTTCCCTTAGGATTTTAACTCGGAGTCTAATAAGGAAAGAGAAGCTTGAAAAAATGGAAAAAAAACACCCATGGAGAAAAGCTGATTTCATTACAATTTGTTTGCAAGGTTTACATTGCGAGGCTTTACTGACAGTCAAATTGGATTCCGATCAGACTTCACTTTAGTCAGCACCTCCCTTCCAAGCAGGATTCCAACTAGAAGTTAATTAACACCTTGAATTTAGCTGTTAGTTTTAGATGTGTAATGCGATCTTATCCAAATATGCTTTCAAGTTGACTTTAGTTATACATTTGTGATTATTTTCAAGTATATCCTAAACAGGAATGATAAGTTCTTTCCAAAGATGATTTTTATTTGGCATCTGCATAACTAGAATTTAGCAAGGACAGACAAGCTGGTAGTTTCTTCTATCTGAATCAATTACAGTTGTTGTTTTGAATCATAATTTAGATGGGATTTCCTTTCCAAGTATCTAGATGTTTAATGATTTTTATCTACAATCTGGATAATGTGGTAAGGAAAGACTAGCTGGCTGCTTCTTTCAGTTCATTTGAAAAGGTTAGCATGTGAAATGACCAGGCCGCGATGGCAAATGTTTCCTTCTTGCGGATATTTGTTTCTTCTTGCTGTCCCCAACCTCAAAATCAAGCAAACTCGAGAAAGCCAAAAAACTAAGAAACACAATGTCAGACCCTAACTCAGCCAACATGGATACACAGGGTCTTTGTTTTTGACAAGTGCAAAAAACCTCGAGAACACCAACAACAACCAAACAAACACAAAATGTCAAAGCCTATGTATCCATGCTGGCTGAGTTAGGGTCTGACATTGTTTTAGTTGTTTTTTCGTTTTTGTTCCCCCTTTTTTGTATTTTGTTTGTTTGTTGGAAACGTGCAAAAAACCTCGAGAAGAACCAAACAAATCAGACCCTATGTATCCATGCTGGCTGAGTTGGTGTCTGATTTTTGTTTTCTCGAGGTATTTTGCTTTTTTGAAAGTACCAAGGAAGCATACTCAAAAGAGTTACTAACTCTCCGTCTTTCAAAAAACAACCCGCTCTAAACGCCATTTTTTTTGCCCAAGTTTCCTTCTCCAAGATGCTGTCCCCATGGGGCCATTCTTCCAACCGGGGGGCCTTTTGGGGCGCGAAGCCGGGCGTTGACTCAGGGCTTGCAGTCCCTGGGCGCCGGCTTGGCGCGGGCCCAAGCCTTTCACCGCCCACAAGGCGACACAGCCAGCCCAAACCAAAACCCAAAGAGGGCCATGGCATTCTCAGCTGGCTGCATGGGGATAAAGTTGGCTTGTGCAAGCGTTTCGGAGCCATTTCGCAGGAATCGGTTTGGATTTTGGGCGCTCAGATGGAACGGGGCTTTGTTCGTCTTCCTGAAAGGAGGCCAAACGGGACGGCTCGTTGTTTCCAACGTGTGTCAACCCAAAATAGGGCACCCAGAGCAGCTCGGTGTGCAACAGATTGTCCAAGCCAATCAGCTGGTAGAGGTGCCATGTGAAGGCCGCGAGATCCCGGATGCCCTCAGATGGAACACGATGAACACGAGTTTTTGTTGGCTGAAACTGGTCAGTCGGGGCTGGTTGATGGGGCTTGCGCTTGGTTCTTTTTGGGTCCTTCACACTGAGCCCCCTCCAGCTCTCGGAATGCATCCTGCCGCCATTTTGCGGGGGAAGGTGCGAGCAGCTTGAGGCTAGCCGCATCCCCGTGCTTAGAACTATTCCAACCTTGGAATCATAGAAGATTCTCAATCCAATTGTCGTCCATTTTTTGTTGTTGTTGTGTACATATGGGTGAGTCTTTTTTTCCTTTTTGCTGTGTTTGGTGGCTGGTGTATGGTCGATCCAGCTTCGGGATCTCAACATGTCACCGGCGAAGGCTAAAGGCCCCAAGGACCATCCTCGACTTGACGATGTTGACCCTGGATGAATGAACCCGTCACCCGTCCTGTTCTGGGTGGAGGCCCTGAGTTCTCTGATTCCCCAGGGATACCGCCTAGGGTTGATGAATCCTCCGGTGGTCCAAGGGAAGCTTCCCCCCTATGAATCAACCAGGCAGGGTTCAGATACAGCCTAGGACACTTACCATGGCTTCTATGGGTACGACGGTACCAACCACTTACGTGTTGAATACCCTGCCGCCTGGGGCAAAGGGCGGCAAGGTGCATTCTTTTCACGGATCCTTCAAGTGGCGTGGGGAAACAGCGGCTTTTCAGAGAAGAATCGATGATTGAAAAGAATGGTTGGAATCACCCCCTAGAAATCCGGGTCATTATGTCTTTTTTAGGTTTGCTTGGAAATAGATGGCACTAGGTTGGATTGGCTTTGGCCCATTTTGCGCTCCAGCTATTTTTCCAGCTTGGGTCAGCTGCGGTCTTGCTCCGAATTTTTCTGCAGGCCTGGTTCCTCGACCTGTCGCGCATGTCCTACTTTACGCAGGGGGGGCTTTGCCTGGCGCTCACCTTGAGCCCCGCGGCCGAATAAAGTTCTGGCCAGGCGGTTCATCGCTTTCTCCAACGCAGCACGCGAATTGGTATCAACTTGCCAGCTGAAGCTGTGTCGAATGGTCAGCATATGAAGTTGAACGACCTGCCAGCCATATCGGGAAGTCCGCTGCCAGGTTGGGTGGGCTGCCTGCCTGTGAGTTCCTTCGGAAGAAACATCTACTTTGCGTAGATCTCCGAGCCTCGGGAAGGCTTTTGGTGCATCTCAAGGGGTTCCCATGCGTAAAGGAAGAGGATTCGTTGTCCGAAAAGGAGGCAGTTTTTTAGCGCATCATCCGCGTGGACTCTGTGTTTGTGTGTCCGCCGAGTTTGTTGGTCACCAGATCATGTAGCATCACTAGCTTCAGCCAGCAATGAGCAACCATAGCATCACCTGCATCGGTAATCACAAACCCCTCCCCCTCCCCCCCCCACCCCCCCCCCCAATCCCCAAATCCCCAACATCCCCCGAATTTTGTGGCCGCGTGTCAGCTTGGCACGGGCTTCCTTTTGCCCCCGAGGCGCCTGCCTGCCGGTGCTCGGGAGCTTCAAGGCGCTGGAGAGCAAGAAGGACAGCCCCGCCTGACCGAGTCCTGGCGAAAGGGCCGCGTGGGAGCAGTTCTGTGGGGTTTTCTTTGGGGAAGCAGAAAGGACCGCCGCTTTTGGGCTCCGATTTCCAGGTTTGAGATAGTTGTTCTTTCATGGCGAGACTCGGGGTGAGTGCCCTTGAAGGCGACTGGCGGTGAAAAGGTCGCAGGCTGTGGGAACCTGTGACAGATTGGCTTGTCTCTTGTCTCAAGGGGACTTTGGTTTCCCGTCCCTCAGCCGAAACAGTCCGAGTCTCTGAAACAGGAACAGCGCACTGAATGGGACAAGCCTTGTGTGACGACCTCTTGTATTTTGACATTGAAAGGTTTAAGTAAACCAGGAATTGCCACCCGTGAGTTTGAAGGCAAACAACAAAACAACAACCACCCTTTTTGGGCGCGGCACGCAAACGAAACGTTTTGTGAAGGTGGAAGGGGAGCCTTGGGTTGAAATAGTCAGTAGCCATCTAGAGATGCTCGCTGAGCGCATCCCCCAACTTTGGGGATTTTTCTGGTGGTGTTTTTGTTGGGTTTCGTGCTGAGCCGCAAGAGGTACCTGTGTTGTATCAGCGCATGGTTCCCTTGTGTGTCTAATAGCCAAAAAGCGCCGCCACACCCACCTCGCAAGCTTTTTGACGCAGCTGGAGCTATCTTCGGGGATGGCTTTTGTGTCCTTCAGAAAAGGCCTTCCCAGAATTGTCCTGAGAACCCGTCTAGGAAGCCACTTTCTCGAAGGCTCCTTCCGCACTGTTCCTCCCTGCTAGGATGTTCATTGGGGAACACCCTAGGGTTTTGTTGTTGTCCCCCAAAGGGCTGCCAATGAGCATTCAGCCCCGCTTGGCTCAACCCGCATTGGCTTGCGCCGTGAGGCTCGCTTGCGAGCTGGTCTGAGCCGCACAAGTCCACCAGACATCGGCCCTCAGAAAGCCAGAACGTGTTCCACCCAAAGTCCGAAGAATCTTTCAGATGGCGTGTTTCACGTGAACGCGGCCAAGCAACCTGTTTTGAACCTAGCGCTTGGCCTTTTTGCGAGCTTCAGTGTCTGGTTTCGCAGGCCGTGCCAACAATTCCACGGCAAATCGAAGGGCAGGAAAAACATTGTGCGCGCTTCACGTTTTTTTTTTTTTAATCGGCTCGGTTCGGCTCGCCTAGTGGAATTGAAGGACTAATTTAGCTCTTTGGGGAATGGGGACAGGTTTAAAGAATCCTGATCTTGACTTTTTGTTGTTGATTTTGTATCCCAGAGCCCTGGAGCTCTGGGTAACGGGCTTGGGATCGGAGGGAAGATATGTTGAAGTTGCGCAATGGTGGGGGGCAAGTCGGATCAAATTTGATCAACACTGGAGCCCATTTCGGGGTGAAACTATGTGAGCCCATGAGTTGCAGAGCGAAGGGGAGCCGGGTTTCCTGGCAAGCAGCGCATTGCGAAGAAGCTGGGGGGGGGGATGGAAAGTTAGGATCCCTGGGGCAAATTGCGGCCGAACTTCTCTGCCGACTTGGGGATCCCCCTTAGAGGTGTTTTTTTCGGCAAGCCAGACTGAAACCACGGATTTTTTTAGGGTTCCCAATTTTTGGACATGTTCCGGCAGCTTGCCAAACCGCTTTCGTGCGGTATGACGTCCTAAAAAGACGTCATGGCCAGATTTCGGCCGGTCTGCGGAAGGAGCGTGACACCCTTGGTCTCTTTTTTTTCAGCAGTCCTCCATGCGCCAGACTTCCCATTTTTCTGCAAACAAAAAGCATTCTCTTTTTAGCTTACCAGAAACCTTCTCTTCACCCTTTGCAGGTCTGTAGGTGGCGCAGAAAAGAACCGAGCCGCGCGCGTTCACCCACACCGATGATGCCAGGTGGCCCCAAGCATTGTGAGCTATAACTCGGTGATCAACGCCTACGCCAAGGCGCTGTGACAAAACGGCGGGGGAACAAAACGGCGGGGGCGGGTCACAGCGGTCTTCGGGTTCCTCGTTGTTTTGTTGTTTTTTTGGAGTTGGTGCCCCTGTTTTGAGGGACACCCAAAAAGAAACACCATTTTTGTCGGGGGGGTGCCCCGAAGGCACTTGTCAGGGACCCGCAAAATGGTTTTATGTTTGTTTCCCCTTTGAACCACAAGAAAAGGGTACCCTTGTTTCCGATTTGCCAGGACTACGAAGCCACCAATTGAACTCGAGCTTTGCCCGGGAATAGCTTGTGTCCGCTATGAAAAGGGTTGCGCAACCCACTTTACCCCAGTTGCCTCCAAATGGGCAGCCTCGATTGCCAAACCCGGAAAGCAACCCAACAGCGGGTATAACCTGTTTGCCCTCAACCAACATATATCCTGTCATATGCTTCGACCTTGGGTTGGGCATGCTCAGGTGTACCCAAAGTATCTCGGCATGTCCACCCCGAAGTGTTCCCACAATGAATGTCGGACCAATTCTACCTTCACACCAAGGTCATCCCCACGCTTAAGAATGGAAATGGCTGCAAACAGGGCACTTTTGGGAGTACCTAGTAGCCGAGAAGTCGAGTTCTTCACAATTGGAGGCACTTGAAAGTCTTTGACACGCAGTATTGAGCCTGGATTAATCAACCCCTGTTTGTTAATCGGGGGGTGTCCCGGTGTTTAGTTTTTTTGTCACTTTTGGAGGGGAACACCCCATACTGTGGGTGGACAAAATCCTGAACCACTTGAAACCATGAAAAGCCACTGCTTGTTGGTATTTACAGGGGAATCCTCATTCCTGGGTTTCTTAGGTGGTGCGAAATGGATTTTGTCCATCCGCAGTATGGGGGTGTTCCCCTCCAAAAGTGAGAAGGAAAAAAAAACGGGAAACAAAACAACAAAACCACTAAACACCGGGACAGCCGGGACCCTGTTAACAAACAGGGGTTGATTCGTTTGGGGTCGGCTCATCCTGGCTGTGTTCCTTGGGTCGGCTCGCTTCGGCGCCTTTCTGCCAGGCGTCGAACCACTCGGCGGCGCAGCGGCTGTGCGCCGCCCGAGTCGGGCCTTTCCAATGGAAGCCCATGGCCGGATTGGTTCGGTTCCTACCCGGTCTTATGATATACTCAGGCCAAACCCCCCAAAGGCGATTTTGCTAGGTTCGGTTCTTACCCTCAAGTAGGTTGGGAAGGCCCATTTTTAACCTGTATGGCCATATCTACAGAAAAGCCAAGAGGCTTAGCCAGTCCCTTACAGAAACAAGTGATTGACCGTAACTCAAACGGGTATTACGAAAGTGGTGTCTCCTTTTTGGTTTCGAGGTATGGCCAACAAAAAGCACTGCAGGGGGAACCCCTTTTTTTTCCAATTATCTTGGTCGGGGCCTTTGTAAGTGGGCGCTTGCAACGCAAGGAAGTGTTTCAAACAAACCTCAAAAACGACACCACGGACAGAAACCACACACCCAGTTTGACTCTGCTGATGTTGGGCAAGGCGAATGGGAGAGCAAAGGACAATATTACCAGCCTAACTTCCTCTCTTCCCCGCCAACAGCAAAGGCGGTCGGGGGGAGGGCCGTGTACCACGAGCTGAGATTGGGGAAGCCTGATTTGCACTGGCTAATGTGTGGCGAAGACTGCTTGAGTGGAGCTTCTTGGGAAGCAAAGACTCTTAGTGGAAAGATTTTGTTTTGCACAAAAACAAAAAAACCCTTCTTTTTTTTGAAAATATTTGTTTTGCACAAAAAACAACATGTTTTTGGGGTGAGACCAGGCTAGATGAATGATTCGAAAGGCTTTGGGAAGCAGATTTTTCAGAGAATCGAGACGTTTTAATGAAGGATCATGTGTCAAATTCCCAGGCACCCGGTGCCCTTTTATATTTTGCAGCCCAAGCAAAAGAGTGGCAACTGGGGCTGGGGATTTCGACCAAGGTGCGAAATAGCACGTTTTGTTTGCTTCATTTTCCCATCGGAACAAAGGAGAGTGGGTGTTTTTTTGGCAAGCTTTTTCCAGGCCCCTCAAGTATTTAGCACCCAGTCCAGTATGGTTGGACAACATGTTTGGGCTTGCCAAAGTAGTTAAATAGTTGGGAACCGCTATTTGCTTCTCTCTTTGGCTTCTAAACTGAACATCAGAACCCGAAGTGAAATTTGGCCAATCTCTGCTCTTCTAAATGATGATCAAGTGCCATGGGCATTGGTTATATAATGGTTGCTTCATGTTTTTTTTTTTCTTTTCGATTTGGTCGAGCCCGATTTGGCCCAACCGATTCGGTGACAATAAAAATAGCATGTTTCGAAACCTTTTGAGACCCATATGTGTCAAATTTGGCCCCCCCCAAAAAAAAAAAAATGTATGATTTCCCTTGAAACCAACAAGAGGGCACCCTCAAAACACGCACGCCCGCATTTCGTTGTCTCCTCGTTCCCCCCGATTTCGCCTCCGAGGCTCGAGGAGATCAAACCCTCAGGGCTCAGACCGCCGCTCGCAGAACGGAGAAGTGCGGGGGGGGGGGGGGGGTGACGCATGGGGCCGCTGGAGCGCTTGACTAAAATTAACAAGGAACATGCACATACATACATATATATGTATATATATACATACATATATATATATATATATATACACACATATGCACACATATTTATTTGAATATGTATGAGTATATAGCATCATACATATATATATATATATGTATATATATATATATACACACATGAATTTGTCACTTTGTTCTCTGTCTCTCTCTATATACATATGCATGGCATATATGAATTTTTGTGTGTATACACACACGTATGCGCAGCACCCTTGGATGCGCACTGTTTGCGCAAATTGTTGCCTGCGCGTGGAATCAGAACGCAAAGATGCATATATACACCTGCTTCCGTGGAAACAGCTGCAATCTGAAGGAACAACACCAAACTGCTAAAAGTTTTTCTAGTAGTGCTGCCTACAGCTGGAACAAGCACCTTGATAACTTGGAGCTATGTTTCGAAAAGGCAAGTCAGCGACACATTGTTTGTTTGGCAACTTATGGCAACCTAAGTTTACCAAACCGACCCTCCAAACCGACCCTTAGAGGAATCTCCTTTCCGAGGACCATTTCGGGTTCCACGTTTATTTGTGGAGAGTACTTACACGCAATAGGGCACTCGAGAAGCATACGGAACTGGTACTTGGCAAGTGCGAGGAGTCATTTTCAAAAACGAAACGAAGAAAAAAGGGGGAAAAACAAACAGGTCAAAACATGCAATTGCAAAGGCGGGAGACCATCCCAAAATGTAATTTGAGAAGCCCCCCCTCAAAATAAACATGCTCACTTTCTGGACCCCTGCGAAAGCTAGATCTCAGCTTCCAGTGAAATATGGATCAGGTTGCTCTGAGAGTGCTCAACTCGTCACAGATCCCAGGTACATCACCTCAACAGGCACTACATGGGTGTGTCTTTTCGTTGAGGGAACTTGTTTTAGGGGTGTTTTTGAAGGGGAACCAAACAAAATGAAAGCCACGATTTTGCATGGTTCAATAGGAAAATGACGCGCCTGCATTCTTAATGGACTGTTTTTTGGAGCAGAAGCTCATTTCGGTGTTACCACATACCTCCCAGGTCTGTTCTAAAGGACCCTCCTGGGGCCGTTGAGCAACTGGGCATTTGGATTCCTTGGACATCATTTACAAGCAGCCACCTGCTGTCTGGGGTGTTCCAACCGTTAAACATCCACTGCCGTTCGACTCAGGACCATCATTAGCTTCAACACGGTGCTGGATGCGTGTGGCCGGCCGGGTGTCTTGAGACCTAGCCAAACTGGGTGTGAAGGGACAGCCATATCCAGTGCAGAGATCCGGGCGTTCATTCATTGTTTATGTGGTTTTGGGCAGACCACTGAGGCTTGACACCCACAAAGGCAGAGGCACACAGACACAGCAGGTTCATGGTTCCTAAACACAAAACAAACAACCTTTTGAGAGAGTGTTATGGTTGGAAGACCCTAGCTGAGAAAGGACATCACCCCCATGTCAGAAAACTCATGCCGATGTATAGGATTCCTTTTGAGTATGCACGTTCATTTGCCCCATCTGTTCCTGATTTGCCCTATCTTGGGTTTTTTTCTCTCTTGTCCCACCCTAGCCCACCCGGTCATG